TTGCTGGAAACCAGGGCTGCCACCTTCCAGAGCAAGACCCGCTGTGAGACAGCAGTGTATGACAGCTAGCAGTAGCGGCATCAGAAGAGAAACGTTCACCTCAGGCCCAGAGGGCTGGGGGGCTTCAGCACGGGGACAAACTTTAACAAAGGTTTGCTGTCCCTAAGAAGGGTGGCATCTCTCTAACTGAATTCATAACAAAAAACCCAAATTGTGGCAAAAAAGGAGGCCAGGACAACTGAGGTTGTTCTGAAGAGAGAGGGAAAGTTTGCGAGACATTTTGGAAAATGGCTTCTGAGGCTCTGGGTGCTATAGAGGTGCTCTGAGGACCAAAACTTCGGGTAGTGCCGGTCAGGAAGGGATCTGCTGTGTCACCGCCCCTGGCCCACTATGGGGTCGCAGGGCCGAGGTGCCTTGCTCACTGTCTGCCCTCTGCACCAGCAGGTGGTCAGGGGCCCAGGCCCTGTGGCGAGACAGGAGAGTGTGGTCCCTGGTGCCACCTGCAACCCTGCACAAGTTCCCCACCTCCCAGTGCCTTGGTTTCTGCGCTGGAAGGTGGCTGTGGGGAGGATGCAGCAAAGCAGCGTGTGGGGAGCGCTCGGCAGCAGTGCACACAGCTCTATCCATCACCCTCACGGTCACCCGGCTCCGGGCCCCACCTTGGAATCTGGCGGGAGCCAGCATCACTCTCGATGCCATCTGGAGCTCTGTGGACACGAAGTCCCACAAGGAGTGCCCTGCCTAGGTTCCATCTACTGGGAGGACCACTTCAGCCTGAGTTCAAGGCCAGGCTGGGCAGCATACTGAGACAAAATGTCTCAAAAGGAAAAAACAAACAAACAAACAAAGAAAGCAAGACCAAGGTCCCCCGTCTTCAGCCTGAGTTCAAGGCCAGGCTGGGCAGCATACTGAGACAAAATGTCTCAAAAGGAAAAAGCAAACAAACAAAGAAAGCAAGACCAAGGTCCCCCAGGCTGAGCTTTACTGCTTCTCACCGCTGTGGGAATGGTAGGCTGGGCCACAGCAGGGAGCTGTGAGGGTGCAGAGCACAGCCCTTCAGGACAGGGTCCTGTCTGAGGGTCGGAGTGTCTCTAACCACAGCCCATTGGCCACCTGGTGGCCAGGACAGGGCCGGTGCAAGCAGTGATCCCGCACCAGTGACGAGGACATGGCCAGCACTCGGGGCTCTGCCGTCACTGTTCAGATGAGACGACCAATGCCACAGGGGCCCCACGCACTTCTCCCCAGCTCCTGACGACAGGAAATCTTGGGCCCTTCCTTAGCAATCTGTCTCTTTCTAGACTGAAAGCTTCACAGGCCAGCTGCGCCCTGGGGTAGGATTGCATGAAGGCATCCACGGGCGGGCCACGCTCCCACAGCCGGGAAGGCCCAGCCTCTCAGAGACCTTTTCAATCCGACTCGATGCTGGTCAGACAGAAGGAAAGGAAAGGCGTCTTCACTGGGAGAAAAGAGCAAAGTTCATCAGGGAGCAATGCTCTCTTGGGGCATGAAAAGGAGGGAGAGAGCAAGAAGGTGCTGGCCATAGGCGTCAGGCAATACAGCTGAGCAAGGGCAGCAGGGCTCAGGGCTGTGGCCAGAGAGCAGCCAGCAGTTGTAGGCTGGGGCTGAGCACGAGGTGAGTGTGAGCCAGAACCAGTGTCTTTTGCTGAGCAGAGGAATAGGCCAGGTGCCAATGTCAGGGACAGGGAGCGCCCGGTTGTGTCCCAGATCCAGGCCCAAAGCCAGGGCTGCCTATGTCTGTCCTTTCCTGTAGAGCAGGTCCTGCACTTGACTGCTTTGAAGCTTCCCCCATGGACCCCTCCCCTGCCCAGAAGGTGTACTGGACCCCTTTACAGCCGCAGACCCAGAGAGGCAGGACTGTGGCCAGGGACACGGGAGAGCTGGAGCTGGGGACCCAACACTCCCCACCCCGACTAGGCCAGGGTCTGTACTGGCGTCGTTTCTTGGCCAGGAGCCTGGACTGACCCTGGCTGACCCTTCTTACACATCCGGTCCCCCTAATCAAAAACAGTCTGCATGTTTCCCCCCCACTCCCTAGCTCCAGGAGGCTCCGGAGAGCTGGGCAGGAGCTGGAAGTCGGGGGGCAGGGGGAATCTAATTTGCCAAAGAGCTCTGGATCCATTGGAATCAGATGTTATTTGGGTGCAAAACAAGCAGGCAGGCTCTGAAGTCGCAACAGATGGAGGGCTGGAGGGGAGGATGACCTGCTTAGGCCCCAGGTCTGTTCCCACCAGAGAATTACTGAGCAGTTGGTCCTTGTCCTGTGCATCCATCCTGTCCCTCTGGGCCTTCCACACAGCCTGTGTGACCCTTCAAATGCTGAGGCGTCCTATGCTGCTTTTCACATGGGGTTTGTTGCCCAGATTTAAAAACTGGACGATTCCACCCAAAAACACTAAGGAGAGAAGGGACTTCTTTACTGATGTGCCCATTAATGTAGACCCATACGGAGGCCCCCACATCTGTATTTTGATGAGGTATGGATTTCTGATTTCAGCTAAAAATCAGATCTGGCCGGGCATGGCACACACACCTATATTCCCAGCACTTCGGGAGGCTGAGGCATGAGGGTCCAAAGTTCAAGTCCTTAGGCAACTTAGTGAGACCCACTGGGATATGGCTAGAATACACCTGGGCTCCACGCCTAACAGAACCCACACTCACACACACATGCACACACAGACACACCACACATGGGTGCACGTGCCTGTGTGCACGCCCCAGGGTCCAGCGCTGGGGACATCTGAGTGGCGTGACCATGTGCCGAACACCACCACCAGAGCACAATCCCAGCTCCTGGAAGTCCTCAACTCCCCCGAGAAACCCCCCAGGATTGTTTCCTACCTCTGCTTCCCCAGCCTCTCACTGCTGCCCTCCACACCAAACCCTCTCAAGTCCCCCGCATCCTGGGTTCTGCCCTTGTTCTGCTTTTCACGCATCGCTAGTACCTTTCTACCCTGGGGCCTTGGCACAACCCTGCCTTGCATTCCGAACCCCACAGACGGCTCCACGCTCCTCTTTCTCATCACTGGGCTCCTGTACCCTCGGCCTCTTTGCGGGCCCTCCGCCCTGGCCACTGTGTTCTGCTGCCTGTTTCTTTCCCTGTAAGATCATCACCTTCTCAGCAGAAGCCCCACAGACAGTATGCCTGGGCTGCCACCTGACTCTGCTCTCCAGCCTGCCGAGCCCCCTTGCCCAGGAGGAGGTTCTCGCCTGGCCCCCTCAAGGGTGGCCGAGAGGCTGAGTGGACTGTGGGGCACTCAGGCCCGTGCCTGGGCAGGGAGCTGCTGCCACTCCTGCTGTCCCCTTTCCCAAGTCACTTCTGTGGCGGACACCAAGATCCGCCATCTCCTCAGCCCAGCAGATACTGACAAGCCCAACTGGGACGCAGCGATAAACAGTCCACAGCTGTCCTCTTACGTCGTGTTGTCCCTTCCTGCATGTCCTCCTTCCGGCCAGGGCCCTCACCTGTCCCAGGGCCTGCCTCGGGAAAGGGGCTCCTCTCAGAGACTCGGTGTGGGTCTGGCAGAAAAGAGGCTCCAAGGCCCGGCCTTGGGGATGTCACAGCACTGGCAGCGGTGGCTCTGCGAGGTCCTCTGCCCGCCGCACACACCCCTGCTCTACTCGTCCCTGTGCATGGGTTCTCAAGTGGCCCTGCTGGGGCCCAGGGCCCTCACTTCCGCCTTCTGCCACCTCCTGGTGGAAGCTTAGGGGGATCAGAGTGTCCTCCCGCCCGCCCAGAGCACCTCTGAGGGGTGGCTGTGGGGTCCACATGCTATGAGCTCAGCAGGTGCCCTGGAGACACAGCCTTTGTGTCCTTCTGGGGACTCTGCGGGGCCAGGGATCAGCAGGCCGGACTTGCCTGTGGAGAAACCGCTGGAACAAACAATGTGAATTCTGTGGCCTATTCATGCAGCTCTGCTTTTTGACCCTGAGCTTTGTACTTCTCAAGCGTTTTTGCCTTTACTCTCTCAGGAACTGTTTTCTAATTAAAAAACAAAAACAAAACCCAGATGGAAGCCCTGCAAAGTCCCATTCACAGCCTCCTGGGGCCACACTGGGTGCCAGCACGCTGTACCCAGCCCACCTTCCCATGCATCACTCTGCTCAGTCAACACCATGGTCCCCATTCTGTGGACAAGTCAGCTGCCTGAGGAGCAGCCCAGCCGGTGAGCGTCCCACCGATCCAGGCCGTGTGTCCTCTTTGCTCCCCACCTTCCAGCACGAACCCCTCCTGGGCCCACATGCTAGAGGGCCTGACCCTTCAATCTCCTTATCAAGGGTCAGTGGTGGGAGAGGGGCACACTGTCCTTGGCTTACCTGGATCAGCCAGGCCAAGTGCACTGCTGCACAGCACAGCCCCACCCTAGGACTCCAGACCTCATCTTAGGCAAGAGAAGGCCTGGAACCTTCGTAAGTGCTGTGTCCTCTGCCTGGGCCTTCTCCAAGTCCAGCTGTGCCCGATGTCCCAGCCTCGAGTGCCTTCGTCTGTAGGGCTCAGCTGTGGCAGGCTCTGCCCCGGCCCTGTCTGCCCCCGTCTCTTTGCACGTCCTGAGGCAGGCCTGCCGCGGCACTCTTGGCCTCCAGACCTCCAGGACCTCAGCCGGACGGTAACCCGTGAGCATGCAGGAGACAGTGGAGAGAAGAGGGTGGCACGCGACCCGGGGAAACCTCAAGCCTCCCTAGAGAGGGGACAAGAGGAACGGGGCTCCTCTCTTCCTGGCCACGGCCAGCCCACGCCAGAAAGGCAGACAGCTCCCGGTCACCTCTGCTACCTGCGGCGCCACCTCGCCTCCACACAGAAACACGAGAAACACCAACGGCCTGGTGCAGCTAGCGAGAGGAGGAGCCGGGAGGATTTCCACGCAGAACCAATAGCAGAAACCGTTCAGGCCACCCTGAGACCCCTGCCAGACCCTGAGGGACTGGAATGCAGCAGGCAGGAGTTTCCAGGCATTCCTGAGCACTGGCCTACTCACCGTTGGAGCGGTGGATACAGGTGTGCTGGTTGTCGCTGAGAAAAAAGCCGCCGTGGCACTGACACTCGTAGCTGCCCATGGCGTTGACACAGAGCTGCTGGCAGCCGCCATTGTTGTCCTGACACTCATCCACATCTGCGGGAAGATAAAGAAGGGAGGAGTCACAGCGGGACCGGTGAGACGCAGGTGGAGCTTCTGCAGACTGCGCTGAGGGAGGCCTCCGTGGTACTGTGCTACAGTGGTACTCCGGGGAGGTACTCTGGGGGTGCTCCACAGGAGTACTGCACAGGGCTTGGTGGTGTTCTGCAGCGGCGTTCCACAGATATCCTAAGTACTCCACACCGTACCCAGAAATACTCCAAGGTACCCTCAGCTGGCACTCCACAGAAGCACTCCCTGGATGTACTCCGTGGACATACTCCGTGGCGGGACTCCACAGAAGTACTTCACAGTACTCCGTGGTGATGCTCCACGACGGTCCTCCTCAGTGACTCCACGGCAATGGCCAGTTCCAGCAGCAGTAATGTTGGCTCACCCTGGCTGCTTCCTGTGCGCTCTGTGCAGTTCTAAGCAACTTCCCTTGAAGTTAAGTCCTTGAGTCTTCACAGAAACCCTGACAGATCCTGGTATTAGTTCATTTATAGATGAGGAAACCCAGGCAGAGAGAGACAAAGTCACTCATCCAAGGTCCCACTAGTGGCAAGTGGCAGAGGCAGGATTCAAGCCTGGGGGACTGACTTCCAAAGTGGGGCTCTTCCCAACACCATCAGACCCCCTTTCTCTGGGAAGAAAGAGCAGCCCATGCCGTCTCCCCCACCACACAGAGCCTCACCAGCCACAGCCCACTGCCCTTCTTTAGTCCATTTTGGGTCTCAGCCAGCAGCACGGGACCCCAGAGCCACGGGGAGCTGGGGACCAGAGCAGCCTGTGCTGCACTGAGGCCCTGGGCCCTGCAGATGGATTTCAAAAGCCTAGCAGGTGGGGAGGATTTGAAAAGCCCTGACCTCTGGCTGCCAGGCCCGCCAGGAAGACTGCCAAGAGTCTTTCCCGCTCCCCGGGAGGGAGAGCTGGACCCAGGGGCTGACTGGTTTCTGGCTGCTGGCACAAAGGGTATGCTGGCTGCAGAGAGTCTTTATGGAGCTCTGGTCCTAAACAGAACAGCATGTTTCAATTACCCAAGTCATAACCCCCTACTCTGTCAGTTTGTTTAATGAAAGAAGGGCTTCTTAAACCTTAATGTCCCATGGCTATATTGTCATTTTAATAGGCAAATATATAAAACCACAAAGGCAACATGAGCTACTGGCTGCTCTAGCTCATCCCCAACACACACACACACACACACACACACACACACACACACACACACACACACTCTCTCTCTCTCTCTCTCATGCACGTGCATACAAAGCATGCATGCGCTTTGACACTGAGGATGTCATATAGTTCCATTTGCTGTGGGGACCCGAAGGATATGGGAAGGTTAGAGGCAGGTCGAGTGACCTGTGCTGGGCCAGGTGACAGCTCCACTCTGGGTCCCAGCAGCTGGTTCCTATCAGAGGCTCAGGACAGCATCCCCTCTCCAACCCCGGGGCCCACAGCTGCCTCTGAGGCCCAAGTTGAGGCGCTTCGTTATTCTCTGGAGAGCTCCGACGGGAGTGTGCGGCAGCTGGAGGAGGGAGGTACAGCTCTGGGCTCTGAGAGCCACCAGTGGCTGTTGCTCATACGGAAAGGGGGCTCTCCCTGAGAGCAGCTGCAGGATCTGACCCAGGAAGCCGGAAGGAGGGACAGGGGTTACGGCTCTGAATATCCTTCTCCTCTAAGTCTTGCTGAGGGCTCCTGGCAGGTTCTACGCCAATGTCACCTTCGCTGGGGGCAGCATCTGCTCCGCAGGCGCTGGACTGTGCACAGCTCAGGGCAGACGTGGTGTCCTCCTCACCCTCTCAACACCACGAAGCTAATAAGGCCGGAGAGTTTAGGATGCGCCCGGGTGACAGACTGTTACTCACGGATATGTGGAGGAGGATGCTGGAAAAGCCAAAGGGGACTGAGCACAGCCGCACAGTGGCTCAGAGGAAGGCGGTTCCAACCCAAGGTCCGGGTCCACAGTGTTTGCTACGCTGGACGTGGCACGAGTGTGTGCTCCGTGAACCCCAGCTGCAGCCAGCCGCCCTAGTCAGTCCCATCTCTGTCACGGCAACTGTGAGGCCCGTGTCCTGCGTGGCACCTGACGAGGCCTGACTGACAGCTGGTCCCGGGACGCAGCCTCTGTCCCTTTGGCCCTCAGTCTACCCGAGGAAAGGTTTAGTGGTGAGGCACACGGCACAGAGCGGAAGCCCTGAGTGCTAGATCTGGGTGCCACACAGCAGCAGGCCACACACCGAACCTTACCCAAGGCCAGGAACCCAAGGGCAGTTGATGTCCCACGTCCACAAGCCCTCAGTGACCTGGCAGGGTGGTTGGGCCACGGACAGGGCTGTTGACTCGAGCGGGGAACAACAACTCCCCAACGCCGATGAATAATTTGAAACAAATGCAAGGCCGAGTAAACACTGCCCTTTCCTCACTCCCAAGCAATAAACCTGGGATTAAGCAGTCGGGGAGAGGGGGCTGCCCCTCATCCTCTCTCCACGGTGTCCAAACGCGGGCCTGGCCCCCACCCCTGGAGTGGGGTAGACATCCTGTACCCCAAGTCTCCAGCCCCCAAGGGGCCCAGCGTGAGGGCTGTCAGCCACGGTCCCCCGTGGCGAGGACAGACTGGGTTCACGTGGGAAACAGCTCCAAGCTGTCTGTAGGAGCGGGGCGAGCCCAGCACTCTGCTCCACCGACCCTGGAACTTAGCACATTCCGTTCTGGCGGTGCCCCATGGCAAGCAGGGAGCCCACACCTGGGAGGGGTTCTGCCCTGCCCTGCGGCCTGTGGGCCATGTCCAGGGCTGTCTGCAGGATGGTCTGTTTGTCAGGGGCCAAGTCTGCCCTCCTGGGAGCCCTCCGAGTGACCCTGTTCTGTGCACCAGCGGGCCGGGTGGCGGCTGTGCCCAGGCCCCGAGGTGCGTGTGCAGGTGCACCGATGACCTCGTGGGACCCCACTCATTGCTGCCAGGCTCCAGTTCAGGGCTCAGGCACCTGCTCTGCCAGTCCACACATGGCCTGAGCGCCTACGTGACTGGTGAAGCCCCCACCCACCCCAAGCACAGTGACCAGAGCACAGGGAAGGGAGGCTTCCTGGAGCAGGTGACACGGGCCCTGGGCCTAGTTGTGCAGGGAGATTTGTGAACGGGGTCTGGAGGAGGACAAGGTGCTCGAAGCACAGGCTGGTGGGAGGAGTGGGCCGGGCTGCGTAGCCTATAAACAGCGGTGTCACCAAGCACGAGGCTCGGGCTGCACTGAGCCTGCACGCAGGGAGGGCTTGGACCCGCCCGTTCCAATCCAGGATCCAGGACCCCGGAGCAGGCTCCCAGCGGGGAGGGGTGTGCCCCGCCTCTGAGTCCTGTCCACAGCTCAGGGGCCTTCATCTTTATTTACAGTCACAGTGGAAGGTTCCCAGAAGGCAGGGAGCCCTTTGGCTTGGGGACAGAGCTACAGAGCTGGAAATCATTGCAACAGGCAGCGAGGCTGAAGGGCGATGCAGAGAGCAGAGGACGCTGAAGGCCCAGCTCTGGGAGGGCGCAGGACCAGCCCTGTCACCCTGGCAGGCACCAACTGGCACCTGTGGGCGAACGTTCTCCCTTCTTTCAAGTGCACTTTCAGTTGTACACTGGTCTTCCGGCCTCCACCCCGCATCCGGACCCTTTCGGGTGGGGGCGGGGTGGGGGAGCGGCTGTCGGGATGGGACACGGACCCTCGACACCAGAGATCAAGTCCTGGCTGCTCCTCGGGCATCAGGCCGCCCTCGCCTCACTCTGTAGCGTCCTGGTCTGGCACTGGGTGGGGGCGCTTTCCCCGAAGGCACAGGTGCCCCACCCCACCCTGCCAGCTGCGGGAGGATCCCCTTGGGGCTGTGCCCCCTGCGCTGCGGCTGGCAAGCTGGCAGGGTTGTTTCTCAGAGTCTGTAGGTGGCTCTGCGTCCGTGAGGCCTGTGGTATGCTGTGCCTACAAGGGCTGCGTTTTGGCCCAAGATGCTGGTGTTTGTTTTTATTAAAAGCTGCCTGTTTGTCCTGCTTTGGACCAAGAATCCAGGTTGGAGGTTATTTATAACTCAGAAATACTTCTGGATCCAGCCTTGGTTGCTTTGTTTCCTTTGAATGCTTTATGATTTGAAACAGAGACTCTGTGTTCTGCTCGGACCCCACCCGAATCTCTGTGGCTACCAGGAGCCTACTTGTGCTGGCCTTGCTGTCCCAGCCCCTGCCCAGGGTGGGAACCGGGGCAGAGGAGTCCTCCGACCCAACTCAACCTCCAACACTGAGCACTCCCACCTGGCCCCAGGCTGCGCCGGGCCCTCCCCTGGCTCGCCTTGGAAGGCGGCCTACTCAGAAAAGCCTCTTGGCCATCGAGTGAGGAGTGAGTGGCTCTTGCAAAATTGCATTTGATGAGTTAAGTGTAAATAAATGAGAACCAGATGGATTCGATTTCGGGTAAAATACACACAGGTCTTACAGCTTTGGGGCCAGGGTTCTGCCGGATCCGGAACATTCCTTGAGCTGTCAAGAGCTCTGGCAAAGGTGGAGGCATGACCAGAGTCCCCAAGGACTTGCTGCTGCCTGAGTGGGCGTCAGTGGGGGCTCCTGATGCCCCAGCAGCTCGGCTGTCTGCAGTCCAGGGGCCGGGCCTGGGTCCGAGTGAAGAGCAGGCTGGGCGATGAGGCACCCAAGGGGTCAGCATTCCGGACCTGAAGGCCACTCTGACACTTGGACCCCCAGCAGCCCAGGGGAGACGGGGCCCTTCAAGGCTGCCCACCGCGCCCGCTCATCGGAGCCAGCCCTCTGGCCCCAGCTGCTGCCCTGATGCCCCTGCTGTTCAAGGTTGCTAAGCACGGGGATTTGCTGCTGGCACGCGGCACTGGCCACTCCTCATTAGGACAGTCCATGTGGCGCGACCCTGTGACCACGGCCTGCGGGACCTGGCCCCTTTCCCACCGGCTGTGCCAGATGGGGTCCAAGGCTCTGCGAGAAACTGCTCTGTGGCCGCTTCGCC